GGGGGGGAGCGGGGGAGAGAGGGTCAGTGCAGGCTGCGGCGGGGGACAGAGGAGAGGGTCAGTGCAGGCTGTGGGGCGGGAAGGGGGAGAGGGTCAGTTGCAGGCTGCGGGGGGGACGGAGGAGAGGGTCAGTGCAGGCTGTGGGGGGTGATGGGGGAGAGGGTCAGTGCAGCCCAGGCCAGATCCCTGCATCCCCGCATCCCCGCAAACCCCTGTGGGGCTGGGGAAAGAGAGCAAACACCCTCTAGGCCTGGGCTGTGTGTGGGCAACCACACTGGAACCAGGGCTGAGCTGAACTGGGACGTGCTGTAAGATACACATGTATCCCCAAGACCTGATAACGAAAAACAGTCTGTAAAGTGTCTCATTAATAATCTGCATATTGGTTACATGTTGAAATGACAATATTTTGGATATACTGGGGAAATGAGATATAGCATTAAAATTCATCGCCTGTTTCTCTTTACTTTCTTAGTATGTCATCTATTGGAAATTGACAATTTTAGAGGCGCCTGGGTGGCTCAATCGGTTAAGCATCTGCCTCCAGCTCAGGTCATGATCCCAGAGTCCTGGGATGGGAGCCCCACATCGGGAGAGAGACAAGCAGACTCTACACTGAGCGTGGAGCCTGACTCAGGGCTCGATCCCGGGACCCTGAGATCATGACCTGAGCCAAAACCAAGAGTCAGACGCTCAACCAACTGAGCCACCCAGGTGCCCCCCATCAATCGTCTTTAGCTACCTGCCCTTTCATCCTCCCACCCACCTCGCTGCCAGCCCTCCCCACCTTCCATCCACCCACCCTTCCATCCCAACCAAAGAGCAGATACATCACTGCTAAGCAACTGCAATGGACCAGCAGGTCAGGAACTGGGGGATTCACAGAACAAGCAGGATCCCTATCCTAAAGATAACTCTATCTAGTGGGAAAGAGAAGCATGTCTGCCAGTAACTCCCCCAACCAAAGCACAGAAATTGCTCTGCAGGAGAGAGAATGATTACTGTAAGGCAAGATTATCAAGAAAGGCTCACGGATGAGACTGACCCTGGCTGGGTCTCCGCGGGTGAACAGGATTTCAACAGAGGTGACAGGGGGCTGGGGAGAAACTGGTAGGCCAGGCAGAAGGGAGGGCCTGGGCAAGCCTGAGGTCAGAGGGAGGAGGTTTGTTGGGACAGAAGGATGTGCTTCACCCAGCGCCCTGGGAGAAAGTTTGGGCTGGAAATAGCACACCGTAAGGCAGCAGAGTGAGCCCTCTCTGGAGCCTTCCTGTGACTCTCCCAGCACTACCTAGGGCCCTACAGATAGGAAGAGTCTGGAAAAAGTCTCTTCTTCCCTCCCAGAGTTACTGTAAGGCCATCCCTCCGCCACCGTCAGGTGTCAAACCTGCTCTCCCAGCCCGTCCTGTGGCCCAGCCCTATTCCTCCTGGGCCTCTTCCCCTCCTGCAGGGTATCACCATGCAACCAAGCCTCAATTTAAGGAACAGACATGTTTCTGGAAAAAAATAATCATGCAAACCCATGGATTTTACAAACAGAATTACATATGAAATGCATCTATGGAGCCTCCAAGGAAAGATTCTCCAGGCAGCCTCTCGTAAGGCAGTCTACTCCCCCTGCCCTTGCGTACATCCCTGTCTTTCCTCTTCGCCAGTTTTCCTTCCTAAAATGAGGAAGATGAGCCACACAATGGCTCCAACCTGTTTTTCTAAGCCCAACATCATGTTGATCCAACATTCACCAAACAAATATTTTTTGAACACCGACTGCGTGCCAGACACAGTCCCAGGCATTGGGATGCAGCAGGGGAGGAGCACCTAGCGCAGGGGGTGGGGGGGTGTGGTCAGCAAGCCAGGAAATGAGTGCACGAACAAAACGATGTCAGGAAGCGACCCGAGGACAACAGAACCAGGTAACGGGTAATGTGAGAGAAGGTGACCGGGAGGGGAGGCCTCTCCGAGAGCTGAGGAGGAGCCCGGATCTGGTGGCAGGGTGTCCCAGCAGGAGAACACCGCAAGTGTAAAGCCCCAGGTGTGACGGCTGGGCGTTCAGGGGAAGGAGGGGCTGGAGCCACAGCGTGGCCCACAGGGAGCTAGGACAGGGAGGGCAGGCCAGAGAAAAGGGCCTCGTGGACCAGGGAAAGAATGTGGGTTTTATTCAAGTACGCTGGAGAGCCACTGGATAGTTTCACATAGAGGAGTGACATGATAAAATTTGTTACTATTATTTTTTTAAAGATTTTATTTATTTATTTGAGAGAGAGAATGAGATAGAGAGAGAGCACGAGAGGGAAGAGGGTCCGAGGGAGAAGCAGACTCCCTGCCGAGCAGGGAGCCCGATGCGGGACTCGATCCCGGGACTCCAGGATCACGACCTGAGCCGAAGGCAGTCACTTAACCAACTGAGCCACCCAGGCGCCCTAAATAAATAAAATCTTAAAAAAAAAAAA